TTTATTTAAAAAATCCAAATATTACAGTTTTTATACCATTTTAAATATTTTTTTATTTTAATAAAATAAATAATAAAAATTTAAAATCGAATAAAATCTGTAATATTTGGATTTTTTGAATAAAATTTTAAAAATACTACCAAAATGGAATGGAAGTATTTTTATAGTTATTTATGTTATGCTTAATAATTGGTAACATGTTTCGTTTTTATAAATAAATAAAACAAACAAATAAAACTCGTGGTTTTAAGTTTTTTAATAATCTTCTAGGTTATAAATAATAATTATCAATAATTTATTAATAATTAATTTTCTCAGGTATTCTTAGTGGTTAATAATTTGGTGAGGACCTTACAAAGACACTTTTTTATTATCTTGACTTAATTTAATGTAGGTATTTTTGTTGTAAATTTCTTAGGTTTTGTTGTTCTGTGCAGAGACAAGTCTCTGGTTCTGTGTTTGTCTCTTTTGACCTTGGCGGTCGCGTATTTGCGAATCATTCTGTTTCACGCTTAAATCCGTCATTGCTAAAGGCATCCTATAGTTTTGAAGGGAAAAGAGCTTATAATATTCTAGGTAAATACCACTTAACAAAATTTAACATTTCTCAACGATTTTGGCTTTTACCCTAAGATTTAAAAATTCCTAACTTCAAAAACACGTTGGAGAGTGTGAGAATGGTAAGTGTTGTATTGCAGTAATGCACTTGTAATAATCTCTTTATTTTTATGCTGCGTGGACACTGTTTGATTCCCAAAATAAGACTTTGTTAGTTGAGTTAAGTTAGAAATTCAATTGCCACGTAACATGGTTGGCAGTATTACCACGATTAAGTTTTTTATTTTATTTAATTGTACTGGTATTTAGTGAATTTGACGTAAATTTGAAGCAGCATTCTTGATTAATATATGTGTTACTATAGTAATTTGTAATTTGTTTATAATTCCTTCCTATTTCTGACTTCCTGTCGAGTTTATCACGACTGGTGCCCCCTATTATCCTTTTCTTTATTAAAATAAATACCTTGAACCTACAGGGCCTCCCAAAAGTCCCGGGACGGAGCTATAACTTTTGAAGGAGTGAAGAAAAAAAATTGAAAATTTGGGGATCACTATAGGATCATTACACTACATTCTTAGGTAGTTTAGAACTTCTAGGCAACCTGGAGTTTTTTTAGGGGATGGCCACCCCAACATTTTAAAAAGCAACCCCTGTCGGGTTTCACCTTATTTTAAAGGTAAGTTATAAAAATCGTAGTAAACGTGCAAAAAACATTAAAACATTTTATTTTCCCATTTGGTAGTCAACCCATGATAATTCTTGATACAATTAAGATATCGGGTTTTCGTTTATGGGGATGTGTTTCTTTTTTATGATGATCCTATAGTGATCCCAAAATTTTCAATTTTTTTTCTTCACTCCTTGAAAAGTTATAGCTCGGTCCCGGGACTTTTGGGAAGCCCTGTATAATTATACGTGGACCAATATTCATGTATGGTCATAGATGGGCACAATTCATACATGATAATATATAATAAAATTATATATAATTATATATGATCATTGGGCTGAGACGTTATGACATAAATAACTATTATCTTTAAGCGTTCTATAATTTAAGTCAACTCTCTAAAAATGACTAATTTAGGAGCAAACATGCAAAAGCCGATACATCAATGTTTGGCTTACTTTGACATATAGTTTATATATACTTATTCGATTCTTAAAAAAATTGTATCACTTTCTTGATAAAGCTCCTCATTTGTAAAAAAGCCCATAAATTCCATTTAAAATGGTCACTTAAGTGACTAGTTCGAGCAAATACCGATTAATCCTATTTCAAGCAAAAACCGATAAAAAATTTAAAAAAAATATGGTTATATTTCACCTATCTCAGCCGATTATTTAAGAACAAAAAGCAAATAGATCATCCGTTTAGGAATCAATTTAAAAAAATGTTTATTCTATTTTCAAAATTTTTTGTGCAGAATCTCAAAATTAAATTATAATTTATTGTGGTGAATCAAATTAATTTAATATATCTAAAAATATTATATTATGTTCCCTAAAAAATTTTAAATCAAAAAGTTAATGTATCTCCTAAAATCTAATGTCTAGTAAAAAACATCGAAGGTACCTTATAACTTTTCGGCTTTTGTTTATTTGCAAATAATTAATTTACTTTATAAAATACATTTTGGTAAAACTAGTCATATATAAACTAAGGTTTACCCAAAGTAATCTAAACCTTTCATACTTATTTACCAAAGTCGGCTTTGACATTTAGGTAACTTTGTTGACATGACAACCAAACAATTTGCACTGCTTGCGGCTTGTTTATCTTTTAATATATTTTTTGCTTTACTATACTTTTATTAGGAAGGAGAAACTAGTTTGTTAGAAATTAGTACAGGAAGTAGAAAAAGACCGCAAAATGAGACCAAAAGACGGAAACTGCAAAAGAAAAGAAAAATAAACAGAATTTTACCCCTGTTGATTTTGTTACATTGCTTTTTAAATAAATTATATTATTTAAACAATTTTTTTTTTAGTTATTGTGATACCTAGCCATCCTGATATAAATAATAGTTGCTTAGAAAGAGTTTGCAATTACTGCATACGCATTGTAGCAAGGGACCTAGGTAAGAGCTATTCGAAATAAAATTTTTGAAAACAATGTTAAAACGGAACAGGATACAAAGTTTTGCTACTATTTATCCGTAGTGCCAATCAAAAGAAAAAGACCTACAAAAGGAAGAGAGTCCAGAAAGCCCAATTTTGAGTAAACTATTTTCTGTTTAAAACAGTCACGAAAAAAAATCGTGTAGGTATGTGTATGAATATGAAGAAAAAAACCGAATAAATAACATTGCTAAAATATTGTCAGAAGGGAATATTTCAAAAGAAAAGTGCGGCGGTAATCACGTCTCTCCTAAATCTATTGAGAAAAAATATATATAAAAAAATTAATAGAGTTTATTGGTGAATTAAGAGGAAGAGAAAGTCATTATAATAAAATTAAATCAAAACGAATTTATTTGACCGCTGATTTAACCATAAAAACGTTACATAACGTGTACCTTAGTCAAACCGATGCTAAAGGAGAATATTCGTAAATGAGTTTAACATTGGGTTTTCAAGTCCAGCATTAGATGTGTACGCAAAATGAATTAGACTTAAATACAAGATAAAGAAAGAAGTTGATGTGGAGAAGAAAAGAGAGTTGCGCACCAATTTCGATAATCAGTCAAAACATACAACCTTTTTTACATGGACTGAAAATCAGGCCTGTAGAGGATCAATCGAGATAGGGTCTGCACTTTTAAGCTATACGGATTCCTTAAATTATGAAAATATTACACTTTTTTGCGACGGTTGTGGTTATACACTCTTTATACTTTTGGCTCAGGTTTAAGGCTCCAATTCAAATCACAAAAATATTACTTGTATTTCCAGTGGTCATTCACTTTTACCTGCCGACCATGTATTTGGCAGGGAGAAAAGCTTCTCAGAAAAGAAGCAACAATCTTGTCCAGAGAGGAGTATGAAAAAATTTGCGAAAAAGTGGGAGTGGTGAAAATAATGGGAATTGATTGGAAACTTTTTAATATAAAAGAACTTCAGGTGGGATTGAAAAAAATTAAAGGCCTATCAGAAATAAAAAAAATTTAATGATGAAAAAGTAACAAAAATATCCACATTCGAAAACTTTTATTTTAGTACTGGATTGGAAAAAGTTAAAAAACTGTTAAAAGCAAAATTTTCACTGATTTAAGCATAACAGAAAAAAAAACATTCCAGAAAAAAAGAAGTCCTTCAGCATCTAGATGCTAGATGTTAGTAGCTACTAACGAACGAACATGTTGCCAATGTTTATTTTTTTTTAATAGAGGTTAAGTCATTAGCATTAAGATTTTTTTCCTCAAATATTTTTGTTTTGTTGAGCCGATATTAAAAATATTTTTTTTATGCTATTTGATTTGTTTTCAATCCAACATTATTAAAAAACAAGGCAAGTGACTGTTCCGGTAGCATATTCCGCTGCTAGACTTCATTGAGAATCAGAAATTCAGGCAAAAACTGATAAATATCTGATATCATGCAAAAACCAATAAATTCTTAAAAATTAAAATAAAAAAGCATGAAAAAACTTATAATAAGGAAAGTTAGATATTATATCATATGACCCCCAAAAAATTTTTACCAGTCATAGAATTTTTAAAATTTTTCTTGGATTACGCTGTACAAGTTTTCTGTTAATATCTCAAAATTGCAAGTTTGCTCCACAATTGTCATAGCGAAAAAGCAGCTAGGTACTAATAATTCTCGTCAATAGAAATTTGTATCCCAAACATTTAGCACACAATTTCCATTTAAAATTGTCCCTTGAATCCGAAAATGTCGTCAAAAGTTAGAAAAGTAGAACAGTTTTTGAGATATAGTCAATTTTCCATATAATATGGAAATGACTATACCTCAAAAACTGTTTAACGTTTCTTACTTTTGACAACATTTTCGGATTCAGGGGACAATTTTACATAATAATTGGATACTATGGTATGTGAAAAAGCAGCCACTAAGAACTGTACTAACTAGTCATTTTTTACTAATTCATTTTTAGAGAGAAAGTATTTGATAATCTCCCAGTCTGTAAAAAAATTAAGATCAATCATGTGAAGTTTTTCACATCCTTGTCTGTTAAAAAAACGATAACTGCTGACAGTTCTGTAGCTATCTAACCTCACTTTATACTTTTAATAATTTTTATGATAATTATACGTTTTGTATATCGTTTAACAAATAAAACTGTGCCTGTAATGTAATAATTTTATAACATTACAAAAACTAATGGTTTGACCTAAATAACAATTTTCGGGCGCAAATCGCTAATATATCATCAAAAATCTAAAACTGGTAAATTCAAATTTAAAAAAGGTATTCATTACTTTAAATGGTGTTAAATTAATGTGATAATTTATATAATTAGTTTTCTTCTTTAGAAAAGAACGAATCGTACATCGTACACATTGTCCAGCAATTCTGGTTCCGTGGTCCAAGTGACCGCCAGTCCTGGTCCAAGAATCCGGGTTCATCCTACCGGAAGGTACGTGAAGGGCACGCTGTCTCCGACGGCGAACGCCGGTCCTCAGGCCGCCTCCTCGCCTGGCGGGGAGGCCCTTCTCCGAGCGGCCAGGGACGGAGAGGACGGAGCGCTGAGGGAATATTTGAGGAGGGCCGCGCTGGTTGGCATACCCGAGGCGGATTTGAATGCAGTGGACGGCAGCGGGAGGGTAAGTGTTTGAGTAATCATATTGATATAGATTGCAATGGTAACAATAATATATTGTTAATTTTAAGTTAAGTAATTCTCCATAAGTGACAATATATTGGAAAACTAAAAAGTGAAAAATAAACATATAGTTACTCCAATAGATATAAGAACTTGATTTTATCACAAAGACATTTAATAGGAAAATGATTATTGCCTTCTTTTGAAATAATAAATAATAATATTTTTAAACATATTGTAGAACTATTACTATAATAAAAGTGAACTTAGCATGTTATCGGACACCTGCCTTGACAAATTTAAATAAACTATAGGGTAGAGCAAAAAAGATATAAAGAGAATTTAAAATGAAATCTGAAGGGGAAAAGTAGAAAAAGTTTTGTGGAGAAAAAATATCTCGTGTTGAAATGTATTAGGGTGGCCCAAAAAAAGAATATTTTTGTTCTCGTCTCTTGTGAAAATATGTTGGTTTGTCATGTTTTAAGAGCCCTGTCAAAAGATCAGCTCCATTAAAAAATTTTTAGGTGTCGCTCAAGATTTTTAAAAATTTCCAAAATCTTCAAAAATTGGATTTTTTTTTATTTTAATTTTTTTTCTCGTTCCGCCATTATTTTTTAATTTGAAAATAATTACGATTCCGAAAATTTCAAATCGAAATTTTGATTTCTAAAGGTCGCTCAAGATTTTTTAACTTTCAAAGTACAGTATTTTGAATGTTTTCGAGCGACCTCTGAATATAAATATCAAAGAACTTTTAGCGACCTTTAGAAATCAAAATATTGATGTTAAATTTACAGAACTTTTATTATTTTCAACCAAAAAAATAATATCGAGACGAGAAAAAAAATTAAAATAAAACAAAAATTCAATTTTTGATAATTTTGTGGGTTATAAAATAACCTTAAATTAACCTTCAAATTGACATTTGACAGCCCTGATAGAATAAGGTTTATTTTTTACAAAAGAGGAGTAAAATGATTGTTCTTACCACTTTAAGGTCTCTTTTAAGGCTTGCAAGTCTCTCTGTAAGAAACACAACTTTTAAAACGATTATTAATCTGTACAATCCCAAAGCACAAAAATTGTAAACAACAAAAATGGACGCCATCGTATGATGTGCAGTGTTGCAGTGATTTTTAGTATTTTTACTACGAGATCGAACAGACCTTGTTGTGTGGATTGTGGTACATATATGGTTTTAATAATAATGACATCGTGTTGCCAAATTTGTAAAAATAATTATGACTATGACTAATGACCCAGTACCAATGATAAATTATAAAACGCGTGTCATAATGTTGCTTATTATGATACGCAAGTAGAAAAAAAACCGTATTTACAACAATAATATCAGGTTTAGTTAATTAATTCTCCTAATCTGCATTTTGTTTACTGTAAAAAAATTACAACTTTTCGTTCAACGTCATAATGACCCGTTTGTTTTTAAGGTTAAAATAAAAAATTGTTTTCTCTTTTATAAAGGAAGTTGTAATCATAAAAAAAATGTGTATAATACTCGTGTATAAGTAGACTTATCTACTCCTATTGCATAATATTGTGTTTATTTCGCGAATAATGATAAATATTATAAATTCCTTGCCTAACAACGGAAATAATGAACTCATTATTCACATTGTTGGCAACAGAGATTGGCCGGTTTAAATATTCACTGTGATTTGAACCAATCGGGTTTTAAATTGGGAGAAGGGACTTTTAAAATTGCTAAAAAGTGAAGTTAACTATTTGACAGATGTCACATTTTATTTTTTTATTTTTGAAAATCATTTAATTATCTACTTATTGAAATAAAATATTACACTCGAAATTATGGGCATTATTCACTCGGATGATGTAAGTCTCTCGCCTGGCGACTCGAGACGCAAACCTAATCCTCGTAAATAATAGTCTACATTGTCTCTCGTATAATAATATACTATTATCGCAGACGCTCCGTTACAAGCACCCTCAAGCTCATGTTTGTAATTTTCGTCTCTGGTGCGATATAATTTTTCTTTTACACTTGTATTTAGTTGTTTTTTAAAAAAATCTATCTTTTTGTACAAAAATTCAAAATTTAATATTTGGCTTTTAATTTAATTAACACGAACAGCAAGCAGACGAAATTTATTTGGCCTCATGTTGCAACATAAGTAAAAGGATTTTTTTATTTTATCACCCAGTTCTGACGTCTGCTAGGAAAATGTTATCCTTCTATTTATTTTGTTTGCGCTTTATTGCCGCGTAAAATTTTACTTTTGATGGTACGCAAATACATTTTGTACAAATGTTTTGATATGTTTCGTACATGTCGGCTCGTTTGGATTTACGGCCTTTAGTGGTGATTGCAGAATCGCAGTCCCAAATGTCATGCACTCAATATTTATCTTTGAAATTTAACTAAAACTAAAATTATGTTTGAAAATTCATTGAGCGGATAAAAATTGGAAAAATAAGTTTTTGAAAATTAATTAATGAATAAATAATAACAAATTAATTTTTTAAATTAATACCTTCTTTCCTAAATGAAAATATATACTAAAACCATAAGAACAGATACTGATAATTAAAATATTAAATAAACTTTTTATTGAAAATCTCTTTAAAAATATACACCAAGCCCTAATTAAAAACTTTTTAAAGAAATATAAAAACAATATGAAATACCTCAATCAATTTGTGGCTTAAGAGCTAATATAAGGTACGTTTTACATATTTTTATATAACTTTAAACATAAAATAAATATTTATAGTTTTACAATTGCCGCCATAGTAGATATAAGTCAAACATTAACTGTTTACTGTTATTTTTAACACCAAAAAACTACAAAATAAACACTTAAAACTTTTTCCTAAGATAACATTATTAGTAGCGTGCCGTAGATGTAAGGGCGAAGAGGGCGATAATTTTTCTATTTAATAAAATTCAGAGTCTTAAAATCGGGCACAATAGTAAACGATCACTGACAATAATTATAATACATGTTTTAAAAATATGTTATATATTAAAAAATATATTAAAATTAACCTTCGTGTGCTTTTTAAGATTTATAGTAAGGCTAAGTTGTTTGTTATTTATATATTTTCTGTGTTATAGTCAACACTCACTAGGTACGAAAGTAATTGATTATCGCCTAGTCTACAAAAATATTTTAGGCCAATCGGGTAAAGTTTTTTACCCCCTAGTCTATAAAAAACCGGTTTCACCAATACAAATTTTTTGACCACTGTCAGATCTATTTTCTACATTTAATAATTATTATAATTATTGTAGGTATGTTTTATGTGAGTTTCGTTTAGCAAATAAAATTATGCCTGAAAACATTGTATGTAATTCGGCTTATGACATAAATAAACTCTCTTTCTACTAATAAATAAAATTGTACCTTGAAGATAAAATTCGCTCAAGAAGTGTCTTTTTGTGATTAGCACTTCTTGGGCAAAAGAAATTAATATTATTATATTATATATATTATATACGTTATAATCGGATATACTATATATTAGATCTATTAGATCTTCTGCCCCTGTGCTATTTTTTGATAATATAAAGAAACTAAATTATTTAAAATTAATTATGGTAAATATTATTTCGTTAAAGGACAATAATTATTGTTATCCTTTTGAATTACACCTAACCCAATAACATTTTATATTCATCAATAACAAAAGTTTGAAGATCCATCAGACTTTTAATGTTTCCTTCATTACCAAACATTAAAATTTTTTTCAGTCAGGGACCTTTTTCTATTCAGGAAATTATTACCGATTTAATTTAATACTATACCTATATTTGTTTCCAGGTAAGATGACACATATAATTTGTCTGGGTATTTGGAATTTTCCGGATTATATCTAGGATCCCAAACTGTTTATATCATCTCTTTAAGATTTAAATAAGTAGATAACACTTTAAGAAAATAATAATATATATAATTATTAGTAAATGTAAATATTTGCATAAAAAGATTGCTAATACGGGCGACTGGTGCGCTCTGGGCAGAGGGGCGGGGGGCAATCACCTTCCCTGGTCCCCTATAAGGAACCCTACTGGACATGATAAGGGCCTTATCATAAGACATTAGTTGCATGATCACTGTTATAGATACAATAATTGTGACCAATCTGCCATTTGTGTGGGGGAACTAGATGTTAATTGACAAATTTATTGTTTTGACGGTATTTTTTAAATTATTCTTATTATTAATCTTTTTCTTAAAAATTATTTTTATTTTTTAAACAGTTCTTCCTAGACTTACTAATGTAGTAACTAGAAACAACTGTTTACAAAAATTAAAACCAATTTTTAAGAATAAGAATTATCGTGAAACGATTTGTCGTTCAACAACTTTTTCCTCGAGGTCTTTAATTATACAAGTACACACGGTTTTGGACCTAAACAACCAAATGTTGTCCAGGTCACTCCATTTTTAAAGATCGGTTCTAGACTAGAACTTCTAGTTTTCGAGATAGTCAAAAAATTAATTTTTTTACGATTTTTGATAATGGCCATTGTATTCAATTACAAATTATGAAGGAAATGCTTTTTGCAACAAATTGCCGATAATTTGCTTGAAATCCGTAGATTTTCGGTTACCTACCATTAATTTTTGAATATCAGGTCCGACAAATATTGCCCCTTTGATTTTTGCGTATGCCAATTCGGGGAACAATTTTATTAAATACTAAAAAGCCATTCCTTTACGGTTGAGAACCAACGTTGCCAAACGGATAAGGATTCGAATTCAGTGCATCAAACAACGTTAAGAATTGTTTTAATCGCTCGGGACCAACAGTTGACCTGAATTTGAAATCATAAGAAACATGAATTTAAAAAAATACACAGAATTAGAAAAAAAATACTTATATAGATAACTATTTGGCGAAGTTAAAAAAATAGAATCTGGTTTTTCGTCAAAATCGTTATTTATTTATTTTTTGTAATTATTAAAACTTTACAATCAATATTATCTGCATCATAGCAAGTCCAAGTTGACATGTAAA